TACTACTGTATTTAGAACAGCGCTTTTCATAAGCACTCAAATCCTGATAGGTGTCTGAGTAATTCTACTCAGTTGCTCCCTATGTAAGAATTGACAGAAGCAAAACTAACAAAGATGGAAGTGACTGGGCTTCAGAGTGGCATTTGCAGATCATTCTCTGAGGATAAGCCTGTTGCTGATTCAGCTTTTTCACTTTTTAAAGCCTCTATGAAATATGGGCCTTCATTTATGAGATCATGGTACAGTATTGTAAATTCATAAAAAGGAAATTTGACAGAGTGGCGAGAGATAAGCAAGCACCAGACAGGCATCACTAGACACAAAACATGATGTACATAAGGATGGACAATCCAACCCTGACCTACGATATATATATATATATATATATATATATATATATATATATATATATATATATATATATATATATATATATATATATATATATATATATATATATATATATATATATATATATATATATATATATATATATATATATATATATATATATATATATATATATATATATATATATATATATATATATATATATATATATATATATATATATATATATATATATATATATATATATATATATATATATATATATATATATATATATAAAGAGAGAGAGAGAGGTCCGTCTGTCTAGGTCATCTTGTAGCCTCATACTATCTTCCTCCGTCTTAATCCTCCTCATAATTTTTGCATCATCAGCAAACAATGAGAGGAAAGATTCTATACCCTCTGGAAGATCATTTACATATATCAGAAACAGTATAGGTCAGAGGACTGAACCCTGCAGGACCCCCCCTAGTGACGTCTCGCTAGTCTCAGACCTGTGTACTCACCTAGTTGTGCTTACGGGTGTTGAGCTTTGGCTCTTTGGTCCTGCCTCTCAACTGTCAATCAACTGGTGTACAGGTTCCTGAGCCTACTGGGCTCTATCATATCTACACTTGAAACTGTGTATGGAGTCAGCCTCCACCACAACGCTACCTAATGCATTCCATTTACTAACTACTCTGACACTGAAAAAGTTCTTTCTACTGTCTCTGTTGCTTATTTGGGTACTCAGTTTCCACCTGTGTCCCCTTGTTCGTGTCCCACCAGTGCTAAATAGTTTGTCTTTGTCCACCCTGTCAATTCCCCTGAGAATTTTGTAGGTGGTTATCATGTCTCCCCTTACTCTTCTGCCTTCCAGGGACGTGAGTTTCAGCTCCTTTACCCTTTCCTCGTAGCTCATACCTCTCAGTTCAGAGACGAGTTTGGTGGCATACCGCTGAATCTTCTCTAAATTTGTCTTGTGTTTAACTAGGTATGGACTCCAAGGCCTCGTAGCCTGGTGGATAGCGCGCAGGACTCGTAATTCTGTGGCGCGGGTTCGATTCCCGCACGAGGCAGAAACAAATGGGCAAAGTTTCTTTCACCCTGAATGCCCCTGTTACCTAGCAGTAAATAGGTACCTGGGAGTTAGTCAGCTGTCACGGGCTGCTTCCTGGGGGTGGAGGCCTGGTCGAGGACCGGGCCGCGGGGACACTAAAGCCCCGAAATCATCTCAAGATCTCAAGCTGGAGCTGCATATTCCAGGATTGGTCTGGCATAAGGGGTATACAGGGTCCTGAACGATTCCTTGTGTGCGTATGTGTGTGTGTACTTACCTAGTTGTACTTACCTAGTTGTGCTTGCGGAGGGGTTGAGCTCTGGCTCTTTGGTCCCGCCTCTCAACTGTCAATCAACTAATGTACAGGTTCCTGAGCCTACTGGGCTCTATCATATCTACACTTGAAACTGTGTATGGAGTCAGCCTCCACCACATCACTTCCTAATGCATTCCATTTGTCTACTACTCTGACACTGAAAAAATTCTTTCTAACATCTCTATGGCTCATTTGGGCACTTAATTTCCACATGTGTCTCTAGTGCGTGTGCCCCTTGTGTTAAATAGTCTGCCTTTATCTACCCTATCAATTCCTCTGAGAATCTTGTATGTGATGATCATGTCCCCTCTAACTCTTATGTCTCCCAGTGACGTGAGGTTTAATTTCCGTAGTCTCTCCTCGTAGGTCATACCCCTCAGTTCGGGTACTAGTCTGGTGGCAAACCTTTGAACCTTAGTGTCAGTTTAGTCTTATGCTTGACTAAATATGGACTCCATGCTGGAGCTGCATACTCCAGGATTGGTCTGACATGTGGTATACAAAGTTCTGAAAGATTCCTTACACAAGTTTCTAAGGCCATTCTTATGTTGGCCAACCTGGCATATGCCGCTGATGTTATCCTCTTGATATGGGCTTCAGGGGACAGGTCTGGCGTGATTTCAACCCCCAGGTCTTTCTCTCTGAGAAAGTGTGTGTGTGTGTGTGTACTCACCTATTTGTGCTTGCGGGGGTTGAGCTTTAGCTCTTTGGTCCCGCCTCTCAGCCGTCAATCAACTGGTGTACAGGTTCCTGAGTCTACTGGGCTCTATCATATCTATATTTGAAACTGTGTATGGAGTCAGCCTGCACCACATCACTGCCTAATGCATTCCATCTGTTAACTACTCTGAGAAAGCTCTTTCTAACGTCCCTGTGGTTCATGTGGGTACTCAATTTCCACCTGTGTCCCCTTGTTCGCGTTCCACCAGTGTTGAATAGTTTATCCTTGTCTACCCTATCAATTCCCCTGAGGATTTTGTAGGTAGTGATCATGTCTCCTCTTACTCTTCTGTCTTCCAGTGTCGTAAGGTACATTTTCCGCAGCCTTTCCTCGTAACTCATGCCTCCTAGTTCTGGGACTAGTCTAGTAGCATACCTCTGAACTTTTTCAAGCTTCGTCTTGATCACTCGAGTGATCAAGTCAGATGCACGGTTGCGGTGTAAGCGTGCATCTATGGTTTGTTTTGGTAGACACTAGGGTACATACATACATACATACATACATACATACATACATACATACATACATACATACATACATACATACATACATACATACATACATACATACATATTACCTTGGAATGCATTAGGAAGTGATGTGGTGGAGGCTGACTCCATACACAGTTTCAAGTGTAGATATGACAGAGCCCGATAGGCTCAGGAATCTGTACACCTGTTGATTGACGGTTGAGAGGCGGGACCAAAGAGCCAGAGCTCAACCCCCGCAAACACAACTAGGTGAGTACAACTAGGTGAGTACATACATACATACATACATATACACACACACAAATTGGTTTGTTTTGGGTCAAAGTTCTCAGATTGGTGAGACGTCACCAGTGGGGTCCCGCAGGGTTCAGTTCTTGGACCCATACTGTTTCTTATATATGTAAATGATCTTCCAGATGGGATAGAATCATTCCTCTCATTATTTGCTGATGATGCAAAAATTATGAGGAGGATTAAGACGGAGGAAGACAGTATGAGACTACAAGATGACCCAGACAGACTGCATGAATGGTCCAACAAATGGCTACTAAAGTTCAACCCGAGTAAATGTAAGGTAATGAAACTAGGCGGTGGAAACAGGAGGCCTGACACAGGATACAGAATGGAAGATGAAGTCCTTCATGAAACGCTGCGCGTACTAGTGGCTTTACAAGATTGTAATTACTATACTATGTATCCTCACAATCCCAATGTACCTTCTTGTATACATATAAATAAATAAATAAATAAATAAATGAAACGGACAGAGAGAAGGATCTAGGAGTTGATCTAGGATGCGCGATTGCTTGCACGACAACCGCGCATCTGACTTACCACTGCAGTTACTTAACACGAAGTCACTGACCTCAGTCATTATGAGACAGCAGGATTCAGCCCGTCCTCGTAAACAAAGGCCAACTGCTCGTTAATCCAACAGCTGAATCCCCTGTTTAGGAATGAAAAATCATCCCTACGAATCGCAACTTATTACATTTGAACCTTGATAATTATCGAGCACTAATTATCGAACCTTGATAATTATCGAGTTCGCAATTATCGAACACTTGTGGTGTTCGAATGATTCACCCCTCCTACTGCAAATGAAAAAAATTGCTTACAGGACCGATGCACTTAACTTCGGCATAACTATACACAAAATCAACAATTTTACAATAATAATACTTAATAATTGGAAAAATGCCGAATTTGAATACCTAAATGGGTTAAATTGATAAATACGTCTCACTATATTATGCACTAATCTATCCATATCTTAATTATGGTATCTGTGCATGGGTTCAAGTTCAAGTATGTTTATTGAGATAAGCAATAAATACATCTCAAAGGGATAGAGTAGCTTAGGCTATTTCTACCCCCCTCTACTTCAAGTCCCTCAAGGGGCGCACAAATTCAATGAGTACAAATAGACAAATAACATTACAAGAATCCCATTTAACATTGCACTGTGCATGGGGTTCAACCACTGCAAACCACCTCATGTCCATCATCACCCAGCAAAAATCTGCTATCAGAATAATAACAAATTCTGCTTTCCGACAACACTCAGCCCCCTTGTTTAACTTCCTAAACATGCTAAACATAATTTCACTCCACAAATTCTCTTGTGTCAACTACATTTACAAAACCCTGTTCTTATTAAATGCAAATCCTTGTCTGAAACTCTCCCTGGACAGATGTAATAGGACCCATTATCACCACACCAGAATTAAATATCTCTTTGATATCCCCAGAGTCAAACTTAATCTGTGCAAACGCTCTATGCAAATAAAGGGACCTCAGAGCCTTAATATACCAATGTGCTTTAATATACTTACTAATCTCTCTCATCTTATTTTTTTCTTTCTTGCAAACGTATCTGTTATCATTTGATTAATTCCGCTAGAATTTACCTACTTAAAATTATCTATTAGATTAAGGACCTGCCCGAAACGCAGCGCGTACAAGATTGTAAATTACCACGCTATGTATTCTCACAACTCTAATGTACCTTCTTGTAATTAAATAAATAAATAAAGATATAAATAAATAAATACAATGTCCATGGGGTCGGTGGCAGCTGGG